TATATATATATATATATATATATATATATATATATATATATATATTAACAGACATTTATCCTCCGTTTCCTCTTCTGATGTTGTAAATCATGGACAGTCTGTCTATCGTACAACCTTACTGACTTGAAATGGATAGAGAACCATGTTGCTATAGCAACACAGGCTGAGTGAGTCCAAGTGAGTAAGGGTATGTTTCATGCTAGAAGGGGGTGGGCTTTGCATATCACAACATGGGGCTTGCAGATAAAAAAAAAGGGGGGGTTGTCTGCTCTTGGCAAGTCATCTGTCATAACTCATAAGGTTGCAATTGCCGTGTGTTTTGTTTTAGGTGATGTAGGCTAACAGTGAATGAATAAAGACAAACACTATCATTTTCTGCATCTCTGTCTTACTTTGTCAGCAGGACTCCCATGTCTTTTCCCTGCATGTTTCTCTGTTGTATTGATGGCACTCTCACTGCTTCTCACTCTGTTGCTTATTTTGTCAGTTCTTTTTTCCTGTGCTATATTATCTCTCATTTTAGACCAAACTATTGACCTTCTTCTTTCTCGGTGGGAGACAATTACCATCATTAGGCCATGGCTGTTTTTCACTTTCACACAGGCACAGAAAACATCCCACATTTGCCATTTTACACGAACTCAGACCAGTATAAATAAAACGGAAGATAAATATTTAGCTGTTTATCTTAGTACTGCCCCTTTCAAAGGTTTTGGGAGAACGATGACTCAAAATCAGCGAGTGTGATTGAGAAGAGATCATTTTTTACTAAGGAAATGTCAAAGTTATTACAGAACAAGCAACCGTTTCACAAAGCTTTTACCGTTTTCCTCCAGGTGTTTTCGAAGAATATAGCTGGTCTCTGTTCCCTCAAACGCATAGTCAAGAGGAATGTTTCCATTGATGTCCTGCAGAAGAACATTTACTCCAGCCTGTTAAGAATAAGAAAAAGAAAATAAAAAAGTTGTCATATATTCTATGAGTTGAACATATAAATAAGTGAGACTAGATGTCTCAGTGGCACAAACCTAAACAGAACCCCAAGGATGCTTACAGACAATATAGTAAGTGATAATAAAAGAGGACTTCATCACACTTCTTTAATGACAATTAAATTCAATTACTAGTTTTCTTATTCACGTGTGCTGACTAATAAGGACTTTTCCAGCATTTTTACACTCTTTGGTCCAATACCTCCTACCACTGTGACAGTTTTAAACTATATTTTTATATAGGTATACTAAAACTGCAATGTATTTGGTCATTAGTGCTTGTACTACTGCAGTGAAATATTGAAGAGGGGTTTGTGAAGAGAAGCACTTTTATTATTTTTTCCACTTGTCCTATGCCTAAAGTGCGTGTGTCGTTTGTCCACTCAGTTTACATGGTAACAAAATTTAGCTTTGCAAGGACTTGGTTGGGGAAGAACACATAGGACTCAAACTGTAGGCAAGTGACAACATTTATGCTCTTTGGGGCATTATAAATTATGCAAATACCATTAGTATTAATATTAATAACAACTGCAACAATTATAATAAATATGCAAAAGTACAAACTATTTTGTACTTTAGTAATAATGACTGTGACTTCATGACACACTTCTGTTTCACCAGCCCCTCTTAAGCAGCAAAGATAAAAATTGCAGTAAGTTGTGCTATAAACTTTCTTTCTGTTGTTTGAATAAATCCTAAAAGCAAAGCCTGTATCATAGTTATAGCCAGACAGTCTGATAATGGCCTTAAATGAGGGCTCTTATTCAATATTTACATCTGATGCAATTCCAATAACATTGTTGCAGTGTGGTAAAGAAATTTACAGCTAGTTCTTAGGCAGACAGGGGAAAAAAGTGCTTAATATAAAATATAAATGCTAGAACTGGGGAAAGGGAAGCTAACAAAACATCATTAGATCACTTAACCTTAGAGGTCTGAAACCCAGTTGCTAAACACCAAAATTATTATTGTAAAATGTGAAACTGATCATCTAAAAATATTTTGAACACTTTTCACTTATGAAATTGTTTAAGGTTTTAAAAGTAAAATAATCTTAAAATGACAGTTTGATTAAGGTTGTATGGTGAGCCCAGTTCCTGTTTTCAGACATTAGTTTGGGTACCTAGATTTGCAATGTACTGAAAGCTGTTTAGCTTACCTATGAGCGGGATGAATTACTTCACATTGACAACAGTAAGCAGCAGTTTTAATGACTATCTATGAAAAATAAGAACCCTTATTACGAACTGAAAACCTCTTGAAGAGGAGGAGATGACATTATGAGTGAGTCAGAGGGAAAATAATTATAAAAGCAACATTACGCCTCGTTTGTTCTCTCTCCCACGATACATTATACATTATGTGCACATTCTAACTGTTCCATTTTAGGCATTTTTCTATTATTTGTGTTTGCAAAACATCTTCATAAACTATTAAAAACCTACCGAAATCATACTGGTAAGAGTAAGTAAAAAAGAAGAATATTGGCCCACATGATTAACTTTAAAGTCCAGAAACAAATAGAAGTCTGGCAGGATCAGCATTGATTGACAAACAGATGTTATCTTGCTCATCCAGAAGCCCACTCTCGCTATCTTCATGCTCCTCATCATGATCCTTGTTGCACAGACTCCAACAACAATAGCATCTTCCACTAAAATCCCTGTTTCACTTTCACATATTTGCCTAGTGTTTCCATGGCATGTTTAAATAGTTGGCTCTAAGGGTCACAGTGCCTTTTTTGTAGCTGACACAATTTGCATACATAGCAATTCAATTGAATTCAGTTTATTTATATAACACTAAGTCACAACAGAAGTCATCTCAGGGCACTGAACAGACACATTCATATAGAAAAATTATAATTTAACACTATTTATCTGAGGATCAGACTGCTTTGAATTTAACTTCATTGCAGAACTCTCATCTTGAGCAAACATGAAGGCGACAGTGGAAAGGAAAAACTGAGGATGAGGAAGAAACCTTTAGCAGAACCAGGCTCAGAACAAGCGGCCATCTGCTTCGACCGGCTAAGTTTGAGAGGAACAGGAAACAATGACACAGTGGCACAATGGCAGGTCAAAAATCACATGTTAAGATAGAAATTGTATAAAATGAAAACTATTCAATTTCAACAATTCATTTAAGGAAATTAGGTCAATTTGTCCTCTAAGCTTAAGGCAGCATAACAAGACAACCCTAACTATAGGATTTATCATGAAGCTCTTAAGCCCAGTCTTAAAACTGGACAATGTGTCAGCCTCGTGGACAGTAGCTGGAAATTGGTTCTACAAGAGAGGAGCCTGATAACTGAAAGCTCTTTCTCCCATTCTGCTTTTGGAAACTCTAGGAACCATGAGTAAGCCTGTAGTTTGAGGGCAAAGTGCTCTGTTGGGAAAACATGGAACAATAAGATCTTAAATATAAGCTGGAGCTAGGTTGTTGAGAGCTTTGTAGGTTAGAAGTAATATTTTGCATTCAATTTTGGATTTGACAGTGTAGTATGACATATGCAGGATATATTCATACATTTCACGGGTTCTTCATTTTTCTGACTGTGTAAATGTCGTGCATTGAATTTAACAGAAATGTAACGAGAGACGTTATTTATCTTTGACCCATCAAAATGAATGCGGTCATTTATTTGCAGAATCAAAGTTTAACATCAAACATTTACATTAATTTGGCAAAATATGAAAACAATAACATGGCTAGTTTCACAGGAAGTGGGACAATACGGAGGTTGTTGTCACTTTTCAGCAGAACAGCAGACATCAATCACACGGCGGTGATTGAGAAACTTTGCTTCAGACATTTCTAAAAATATCTGTAATGAACTTAGGGGAAAGGAGAGTTTAAAGATGGGAAATGGAGATTTATCTTACAGAGAGATGTGTGAGGGAATTTATCCGTGGTACCAGAACAACACGCTCTTTGGAGAATAAACTTGGCCCACGGTACACTTGGTCGAATAGAACTTTTACCTGGCAGATGATAATCAGCGTCGGTGTAGAGTTCCCTTCTGACTCTTTCAGCGTCTCCGTGAGGACAGCCAAACCCCTAGGAGTCGTGTGAGGTTATCCAAACAGAAGTTATAATCCCCAAAACCGTCTCTGGATCATCTTGAATGCGTTTGCATCCAAGAACTCTGAACTCTTTACGTCTCCAACTCTTTCAAAGCTCTTTTCATCTCGTCACGTCTCGTCTCGACACGACAACGGAACTTTTAGACGACACCTCTCCATGAGCTGCATCCGCGCGTTGAACTGGGAAGTTGCCACATTTAAATGGGTCGACTTCCGGTTCATTTGAGAGCTTTCTAATTGGTGGATGGACCAGAACAGAGGTGTGGTTTGTGATGTAAGGTGTTATGAAAATTCAAGGATAGAGATTAAGATTGTTTAAAACAGACAGAAAGATTATTGGAGAAAACCAGACTTCGTGGAGTCAAACTCTCCTGTATCTTCTGTAAAAGTTAAACATGACATTTCTTTTCAGTAAACTTTTTAGTTGACCGAAACCTGAACTTTAACACACACTTACAAACTTGCTCATTGAAGACAGAAAAATCAAGAAATGCATATTACCCTGATTTCTTCTTTGAATGAGGAATAAAAATCATTACTTACTGTTTATGTAAATAAAAATGAGTAGTTCTCTTCAACCTGTAAACATTGTTTGAACTAACACAATTTGATTATCAAACATTTGTAAAATAGTAATGATCATAGAGAATTGTCTTTTCCACTTGATTAATTCAAGAAAGAAAGTCTCAGGATGGGTCAAACTGTATTTCTGGATGCAGATCAATGAAATAACAGTTTCTGTCCATCTGGTCAGATTTGACATCAGGTCAAGTTCACTACAACAGGGAGCCAATGGAGAGAAACTAAAACTGGAGAGAAATGATCTCTCCCACTAACTCCAGTTAAGACTTTGGCTTCAGCATTTTGGATCAACTGAAGACATTTTAAAGGAGTATTCGAACACCCAGCTAATAAACCATTACAATAGTCCAGTCTAGACGTGACAAATGCATGGACCAGTTTTTCTGCATCACTTTTAGATAAGGTTTCTAAATTTAGCGATATTGCGCAGGTGGAAGAAGGTGGTTCTAGTAACGTTTTTAATGTGGGGGATAAAGGACATGTCCTGATCAAAAATAACTCCACAAATTTTAACATTAAAGCTGGAGGCCAGATTAATGCCATCCAAGGAGGGTGAAAGACTGAAAAATTAATTCCTTAAATGCGCAGGTTCAAAAACTAAAACCTCAGTCTTGTCTGTATTCAAAAAGAAAAAATTTAGTGTCATCCAGGTTTTTATGTCTTTAAGACATGCTTGTAGTCTAAGTAGCCGATTGGATTCATTGGGATTTATGAACAAACTGTGTATCACCAGTATAACGATGAAAATTTATCCCATGCTGTTTAATAACATTACCTAATGGAAGCATATATTCAAGGATTCAAGGTTCTTTATTTGTTATTCGCATCCCATGTGATACATGTGGTATGAACTAAGAAAAACATTAACTAAATATACACTAAGCACTAATAGTATAAAATATTACGTTGAACATCAGCGCAATTATGAGTTTGTGTGAACAGATGAGCACGCATGAACACATCAACATGAAACAGATCAGCAGCAACATGATGTGATTTTTTTCACAGTGATTATTCAGGTTAGATATTCATGAGTCTAACAGCCTCAGGGTAGAAGCTGTTCCTCAGTCTAGTGGTTCCACACTTAATGCTGCTTAACCTCCTTCCTGAGGAGAGAGGGGCAAAAAGTGTGTGCTGAATGAGTGGGGTCTTTCATGATGCAGGCCCTCTTCCTGCATCTGGATGTGTAGATGTCTGTGATGGTGGGGAGCCTGACTCTGACAGACTTCTGTGCAGCCTTCACCACTCTCTGCAGAGCTTTTCTTTCTG